CAACTCGTAGCTCTGCTCAGACAGGAACAATTGGAGTAACAACAGCAGGTACAGGAACAACCATTTCAACATTCGTGCCTACGACTCTTTCAACAGCACAAACCTCAACACAAACAGGTCAAAGTTCAACAACCATTAGTTCGAGTACTGCAAGTACAGCTCGTAGCTCCGTTCAGACAGGAACAGTCGAATTGACAACAGTAGGTACAGGAACAACAGCTTCAACAACTACGTCCATGACCGTACCAACAACAGCAACAGTGACAGTGGTCGTTCCAACGTTAACTATCAGTGGAGGAACAACAAGCTTGAGCAGCGCAGCGACAAATGTTACAGCAACAGGAATAACTAGTTCAATAACCAATACAGATACATTCATTACTATTTCAACAACACTTACAACTAATACAACACAAATGACTACTGTTACTAGCATATTGATGTCAACAACTATTTCAACTACTACAACCGCATCACCACAAAGTAACTTTAAGATTTAGTTATGAGTATGTAATTTGATATAATATTTCTTTACAGCTTGTGGATGGGGAAACTGGGTTATAATCAGCCCTTGCTCAGCTACATGCGGAGAAGCGTATCGATTGGTGAATCGATCATGCGTAAGTTTGATAACGGGTCAGACTTGCGATACCTCTGCATGCGGTAGTGGCAGTGCGATGCAAAATGAATCCTGTCCTGGTTCTCCACCTTGCGAAAGTAAGTGCTTTCATTTATACGCATGAATCAAAATTCAGTATTATTTCTTTTTCTAATTTAATCTAGCTATAACTGTCACCCCAGCGCCGAGTATTCGTGATCCAACTTTGCAAATTTCTTCTTACGTATTGCCGGATGCAATGTATTTTTTCGAACAAAGCTACGATCGTATTTGGGTATGAACCAAAAATATTTTCATAAAATAAATCATTATTAATTATTTATAGATTACAAATAAGGGTTACATCAGTTTCGGCTCACCATTTTATAGTCAAACAATGACACGTTTTATATTCGGACAACTTTACAACCAGGCTATTGCAGCTCCATTTTGGGCTGATCTTGCGTATGACAATGTAAGTCATATTGTATCGTTCTATCTATCCTCAATAATCAGTGGGCATACCTTTGTTGTAGACTAACTCTGCTATCACAGTTAACTGGTATAGTTCAATGAGTGCTAATCAAACTGATGCGAACACTTACAATGCCATTATTCAAGCAGCAGTATCTGAAGCATGTCCAACACAAAGTTGTTCATCGGATTTTGCAGCAGTTCGAGTTGTTCGAATCAGTTGGCAAAATCTTTACTATACTTCACCTGGCAATAGTGCACCTATAGTAAGTTCAATAGCTTAATATTTCTTGTTAGTTTCTGTTTTGCCATTTTTTCCAGAGCTTGTCGTTCTCTGCATATCTGATAAACACATATGATGTGGGCTCTTATAGTTATCCAATCCTTCGATCATATCTTTCATTTGACTATACTAATTTAACAAGAAATCTAGGTTATCTTAAACCTTTTGTCGGTATGTAAATTATTTTATTTTATGAATTAATTTAAACCAAATATGATATAGGTTATCGTGGAAAATATTCTATAGTTCAAACTTTTAACGATCCATTTTTTTATCAAAATGCATTATTTCTAAGTATTTATTTTTGTTAATTAAATGAAGATTTACAAAAAAAAAGATCTTTTATTTTTAGCACAAGCTTCACGAAGAAATTTTTATATTGGAGGACGCTTTTTGACTCAATGCGAAGTAAGCTCTTTACAAGAAACAAATTTGATTAATTTGTATCCGTCGGAAAATTTAAATGATGAGGTGTATGTATTTTATTAGATTCTTCTTTTATTTCAATTTGATTTGATTTTAATCTAGAAATAACCCACGATTTCCATGTCCATGTTCACTTGGTCAAGCAATAGCAGATCGTCGTTTCAGTCGTTTAAATAGTGAAACTAATTACGAAAGATTAAAAAGACTTGCTTGTTTTGGACCACTAATTACTGTTTGGATTCCTGTTGGATTTAATTTTAAGGCACTTAGAGCACAAGTAAATAAAAAGTTAAAATATTTTGAAGACGAAACATCACACTTGTTGTTTTTCTCTAAATTGAGTAAATGATAAGAACATATATGTGCTTTTTAGACATGTTGTTATAGCGAAATTAATGGAGGTTTAATTACCTATGGTGATCTTGCTGGCTCAGTGCTCTCAAATCCATTTATACTTTTTCAACAATATTCTTGGTTAAAACGAATTGCCTTTCAGTAAGCACGACTTATCTTTCGAGAGAAATCATTCAAATGAAAAAATCACTTTTAAGTCGAAACTATGTGTATCATATACTTAGCAATAGCAACATTGTGTTTCACATTTTGATTCTGCAAGAATTGCACTGTCAGATTTTGTTTTGAATAAATACCGTGATCATTCCTCGGGAACACTAGAAAAACTGATTTTCAAATTTTGACTTGAAACTTAGTATAGAGACAACCATTACTGTGACATGTCAGATCTTGTTGCTGTTGTATTTCGAAAATACAACGATAGTAATAATGTGTGTTTTACATCGTTGATATAAATAGATAGGTTTGGTGTTCGTATGCCAGATTAGGAACAAATCCAAAGATCTGAAACATTTACTAAGGCAAATCTCTATGCAAATTTTCAAGTCAAAAATCGAAAAACATTTTTATTCATCGATCATTTGAAACTACATAAGGCACATAGTCTCCAATAAAAAATGATTTATCATTTAGCGAACTTTCATCATTAATTCGAATAATTCTGATCATTCACCTTTTTATTTAGCGATCAATGTTGTTCATCAACAAACTTTGGAGGAACTGCAAATTGGAATATCTGTCGTCTTTATTATCAAATTCATCCACCAAGCAGTTGTACAGGATATCAACCACCTACTATGGGTAAAACAATAATTCTATTCATTTTTACTTTAAGTTATTAGAATTTTCTAGTTACCGGTATTGGTGATCCCCATATCAATACTATTGATAATGGGCGATATACATGTCATATTCAAGGTATTTATGTATTTGCTCAAACAAATGATAATGCTATTGCAACTGCTCAATATAATCGTAATAACACTAGTACATCTGGCAGTAATCTTATCTATCCTGATGATTTATTTCAAATATATGTTCGTTCTGTATCTATACCACCAGCTTTATCTTATATTGAACGAACACAAGGTGATGCTTCGATATTTTCTAGTTACGCAATTGTTGCTGGAAGTTATACTTTTAATATTAGTAATAATGATGGCAAATTTGGTAGGATAATTATCTGATTAAAAAAAAAAGAAACATCAATATTTTGTTTTCTTCTCAGGTTTTGTTGCCAACAATGGTTCATCTATTTTATCACTTACCGATAATTTAGCAAGTAATTTAAATTATGATAATGGAGATTTGATTAATTACAATGATCGATATATTTATCGAGTACAACAAACAGTTGTAACTATAGGAAATATAACTGTACCTCAATTAACATTTGCTCTTTGGTCTGGTATGTAATTTGAATTTTTATTTTTCAAGAAAAAACAAATTAATATATATATATAATTTAGGTCTTTCAATGGAATGTCGAATTGTTAGTGAAAATCTTGATTGTATTTTATCATTACCACAAAAATACCAAACATTTATTGAAGGATTAATTGGTAATTTTAATGGAGATTATAGTGATGATTTAATTAATCGTCAAACAAGTCAAACAATTCTTATATCACCTGCGGACAGTGCAACATCTATGAATAATGATACAGAAGTTCTTCGAGCCTGTCTTTCATGTAAATTTATATAAGAAATAAAAATTATTTTATTGTAGAAAATTTTTTTGTCTCTTTCAGGGAAAGTACCTAGTGATACAACACCAATTATGACAAATCCAATAATGCCGTCATACTTAGTTTACACATATTATAATGAATCTGCAGATACTCTTGCAAGTTTAAATCCACGTCTTAGTCAATCTATGATTGATCAAACATGTTCAACAAATTTCGAATGTCGTCATGATTACATCATTCGAATCAATCCAATAACTAGTGCTGCAACAGCTTCATCATTAAATTCATTTCAACAATCAAGAACAATATTAGGTAAAGATATAAATTTGAAAAAAGATTTTTATTTGTTTAATTTCGTTTTTTTTTAATTCATATAGCTGAAACCGTACCAACTATCAACATATCATCAGCTATTCAAATAGGAATACCATATAATGATACGAATCGTATTTATACATTACCAATTACTATAACTGGTGCAAAAAGTACACTTGTAAATATTTCTCAAAATGGTACTATGAGCACTACTAGTTTTAATAATGTGTCGATTATGATTCCAATTCCGAATGATGCTACTAGTTATGTTCAAGCTTTGTAAGTAATATTGAATGCTCAATACGTTTTTTATAAAGCTAGCCTCATAAATACATTTGTGTTTTGTTTTTTTTGTTTGCATATTCAATAATGAATGTTTAAACTAAAAGTGACAATTCTATATTTTGATAGATCATTGATTTCTCAATGAAATATAGTAAATAACAAATAGTACATAATAATGTTCGATTTTGAAAACAAGTTTCTCATTAGTTATTATTGAATATAATGTCAGAAAAATCAATGATATACTTAAAGTTCAACTCAGTAAAATTCTTTTATTTTTGAAATCGAGAGATATAGGCCTGTAGATCATATATAAGAAAAGATACTGTCATTCTTAGAATGAATAGTATTTATCTTGTAATTTCCGACACACTTAATATGTCTTAGTTAATAAATGATCCTTTGATGAATTAACTTTTGAAGAATAGTATAAATTCTGAATTTCTTCTTTTGTTATTTTTTTTTTAGTTTGACTATGAATTATGGCACAAATTCTACATTGATACAGTATTTGGATATCATTGCTTGTTTATGTAGAAATACTAGTTATTGTAATTATGATGATACAACAACAATATATGATAATTATGAACTTGCTGCATGTCGTTGTCCAGATCAATATGACGGTATAAACATTAAATATACATAAATTCGATAGATTATCGCATCATTTTTCTTTCAGGAGTTTTTTGTCAAGATTCATATAATGGTTGCAATGCGGGTAGTGCATGTAAAATTTATTGGAATAATGATACAACATGTAGTCCATTGAGTGCTGATGATCAAGTAAGACTAAATCGTTCGTATACTTGCAATGGTACATGTTCAAGTGGATTTAATTCAACTAATAATTACACATGTGATGGTAAAAAAAGAACACATTCTAATATTCGAAAAAATATAAATGATGATTATATCATTTTTAGATATTAATGAATGCCAACAAAATTCAACTCTATGTGGAAACGGTGTATGTATTAATCTTATTGGATCATATACGTGTAATTGTTCCACTGGTTATCGATTTGAAAATAAAACATGTGTTGGTAAGTATTCTTTTTTTTTTTGTAATATTATAACAAACAAAATTTATTCTCTATTTTTGTCTTTTTTTTCTAAAGATATAAATGAATGTAGAGAACCAAATGTAGATGGTACTTTTGGTGCTCGTTGTAATACTACGGATGTTTGTATAAATACAATCGGTAATTATACATGTCAATGTAGTCCTATTTTTAATACAAATGGAACTTGTGTTTGTATGTAAAATTGGTTATTTTTGAAATTTGAATTGATAAATATTTATTTTATTAGTTGATTCAAGTAAGTGTTCTGGTGATACTTGCAGAGGTGCTAATGGTACAATATTATGTCTGCGGGGTACAATCGATATAAATAATAGTTGTGTTCGTAAGTAGATTTTTGAATACCATAGAAAAGCAGAAAAACTGAATAAATGAAAATGATTGTAATTATTAATCATTTTAGCTTGGTGTAATTCAACATGTCCTGGTTTTTGTGAAAAAATGAATGATGTTTATCAATGTAATTGTGGAAAATCTCCTGGTTTACGACATTCTGAAGATGGAAAACAGTGTTTAGGTATGAATATGATTCTTTTGTTTTTTCTTATTATTTAAAAAAATTTAATTTAATTTATTAAAGAATGCTATAATTTAAATTATGGTTATGGTTGTAATCAAACATGTAATTGTACGTATGGTACTTGTAATTCAAATGCAACAAGTACAAATGGAAGTTGTAAATGCGATAGTGGATATGAAGGAACATTTTGTGATAAACGTATAGACAAATGCGGTAAGCGTATAGACTAGAATATAAACAGAGTATATATTTGATGATTATTATCGTTCAATAGAAATAAAAAGCACATATATAATATTAAGAAATGTCTCTTCTGTATGAATAAAAGAAATAGTCGTTTGTTTATGCGTGGTATATTGCAAATGATGTAACAGTAAATTAATTAAATATGTAGTTCTTTGCGAACAATATGAAAGCTATGGTTGAGTGTCAAGTGAAAAATGTAGATGCCTATTAGAGTTGTTGAAACTGCGGTACTGACTATATAGATAGAGTTTCTAGTCTTTTTGTCTGATAGTAAATAAAGAAGTTCTTAAACCTTCTTACAATTTTCATGGCATTCATAAATATATTTCTCATCATTAATCGAAAAGAAAATCTTTAAAAAAACCAAAATCAATGACTAATATTCACATTTTGTCTGCATCTTTTACTTATTAAATCTCCAAATAAATCTTTCTTTCTTTTTAGCAAGCAGTAATCCATGCAATAGTGTTTTGGAAGACTGCGTTACAGATCCCGCGAATCAAACTGCTACTTGCAGTTGTAAGAGTGGTTATCAAAGAAATACGACATCAAGTAATTGTACAGGTATGTATAAATAATAATGAGAATTTTTGTATAAATTCATTTTTATACATAGATATCAATGAATGTGAAAGCCAACTAGATCTTTGTATTCGAGATGTTTCAAGTTGTTTTAATACTAATGGAAGTTATAGCTGTGTTTGTTTAAGCGGTTATCAGGTTTGAAAGATATTGATGTTTTTTGCTTTTCAAAAAAAAAATTCTTTATGAATCTTATTTATTCTCTAGCCTCTTAACGGTTCATGTATTGATATAAATGACTGTAACGCGAATCAGACAATTTGTTCAGGCTATAGTAACACATATTGTACTAATACTCAAGGTTCATATGAATGTCGATGTAGTTCTAATTATTCATTAGGAGGTATGTTTATATAGAAATTTCCGTGTGATAAATAAAATAATTTCTTTAGGAAATTATTATCAACAATTTGGAAATGCTCGAAATTCAACTAGTTCATGTTTACCAACAAACTATTCAATATTCTGTGAAAATCAATGCTTGAAACCGGCTACATGTAGTGAAATAACAGGTCGATGTCAATGTCCTGCAAACTATAGTCTTGCTAGTTATAGTTTAAATAATACTCTACAAACATGTCTATGTCCAGGTCATCCATATGTTTATTTTAATGGAACTGAATGTATTGCTATAAATGGTAAAAAAAATATTTTTAATTATAACTCTTTTTTTTGACTATATCCATTAATTATAGCTCCAACTGTGTTCACAGTTACTTTCAATTTGACTTCATCAGGTCGTTTTATACTTATCAGTCCATTGAATTCATCTAATATAGAAAATAATGTAAAATTTAACTGATTATTTTTTGTTTGCTTATAATTTATCATTTTTTATGTTAGACATCCAGCTTTTTATTATCTAATATGAATATACAATGTAATGGATCATGTATACAGATATACGATACACAGTAAGTTAGATTGATTAGCACAAAAAAGAAACTTATTATTAATAAATAGGACTGTTGCACTACCAGCTCGTCAACTTGTTATTGCGTTAAGTGTTTTTCTTAATATTACACAACGAATACTATTTGCAAGATATTTGTTCAATACTCCGAATCTCTTAAATGCTAGTTATTCCACAATATTTGTACAAGCAATTATGGACACAAATACAAATGTTACAGGTAAGAAACAACAAAATGAAAACTTATTTTATTTTTCGTTTTCTTTAGTTAATATATCAAAAGCTCCAGAGTTGTGTGAAGAATGTGTCTATCTGGGAATAGGTCTTTGTTTACCAAATGGGACCGATTGTCTATGTACTGGTAATTATGGAGGATATTTCTGTCGAAACCTTACTACAACAACAACTGCTGTTTTAACACAAACATTATCGGATAGAAATTGGACAATTATTATTGCTTGTGTCAGTGCTGTAGCTGGTCTTTTCTTAATAGTTTCTATTGTTATGTGTGTATTCTTTTGCATAAAACAAAGAAATACACCTGCTACAGGCATTAAATCACTACCGAATCGTCAACAATTTACAATACCCCGTGCTCATTTTCCAACCGTGGGTACTATTAGTCCTAATCTTTTGGACGATTTTAGTCTTGATAATACAAATGATGAATCATATGTCGATGCATCCGATTCATTACCATCAAGTTCAAATACAACATATAATACAACATATCGTGCAAATGGAAATCGTCCTGAAGCTGACTTTGGTATCTTTGATGAATTAGAAAATCGTATACCTTTATCAAAAGGTCAAATACCACGACCACAAATGCTTGATATGATGGGTACATTAAATAGTTTACCAGCTCAAGAACGATTTGATGGACCATCAGGAGCAGCTAGTACATTTTCAGATAGTCGAGATCTTGATGATATTGAATTTGTAACAGATATGGTTGATGATATGACTAAAGATGATGATATGGAAGATGAATTTGTTGAAGCATTAAATCCAAATTTAGCGATGCCAAGATCAGCTTTACGACCAGAAATGAAATCATCAGGATGGTTTCCAGTAAGTTAACATAAGAAAAATTGTATTTTTTTAAAATTTATACTTATATATATATATTTAATATTTTTAGTTCTTTCGAAATTCGTAATTACGAATATTTCCAAATATGTATTTAGAACACGTCTTGTTATTCATTTTACTGCTGGTTCAGTCTAATTTATATATTATTTTATTCATGCTTGTTTTCATAAATTGCTTTTCATGACATCTTCTTCAGAGTTCTTTTTCATTTTTCTATCGTTTCTTCGTTTTTTTTCGTACTTTATCATCCCGAGTGATTATTTCTGCGAGAAAGATTACCGTTCAGTGATGATCTGAAAGATGATAGAAAATAAGAAAAAAAGTGACAGTGGAAGATTTTTTTTCTTTATTTATCGAATTATCTTATATCTTCGTATTTTTCTTTTTGGCTTCTTTTTTTTTATAAATAAACTACAATGATTAACTTCAACCGAATTATGTTTATCAATAAAATCTCGATGATCTCAAAAACCCACATAATATCAATAGTATTTGATGATAGGAAACAAAATCACATTTATCATTGACAAATACATTTTTATTTGACTTTATTCGATCGCAGAATATGATATCTATTGGTATAAATGATATCAGATTAATTTATAGTAAGTCAACATTATATTTTAAGAGAGAAAAAACGAATAATAGATGACCTTCAAAAGATTAAAGATGAAATTATATTTGAAAAAAATGTTAAATCTGTTGTTTTTCGTATTATAACTATTGATTTAGTGATGACTAAAGTATGATTGCACTGAAACTGCTATGAAAGAAATATCAGACATGATAGAACTTCTTTTAATGGAAATGAAATATTTTTTGAAAGATCTAAAATAATTTTTGAGTTATAGACTAAAGCGAATAGATATAATATGATTCGGAAAAAGAGATTAATTTAATCATAATTAGGTATTCACGATATCCGAACTTTGGCACAGTGTTCGAGTTCAGAAACTCTCCGACGAGTTCAGACAGTATCAAATATATGCTCAAGCATTTTTTTTTTTGAGGTATATGGATAATTATAGAACCACCCTAAGGTTCATTGAGTTCAAATTCGAGTATTACTGAAGATTACTAACTTTGTTAGTATGCCTGCAGATCTTTGGTTTTTGGATAATCTATTCCGCTCTGTATAGATCTACTATAGTCAAACTTGAAATTCTCTCTTGTGAGCTCCTAATCAAAACATAATTTTGTCTTATTAATTGTATAAAAGTTTGTCACCGATGAAAATTGTATCAAACAATTTCTAATGCTTTATCAAATTATCTACATTGTCGCTTTGCTTTATAGAACAATTCAGGTTTGATTAATATCAAATTTATGCTATCATTTATACTAGATGTGAGAAATATGGAAAATTATTGATTTATTTGAAAGCACTAGTCGTTTTGGAATAGTGAATTCTATTTTACGAATAGCACAGATATTAAAACATTTTAACGAAAAAAAATTCATGTGTTCTTCTGAAGAGTCATAATATCCAGGTGAAGATAAGAGCTACACCTACACCTACACTCATTACTCACAAGTCTTAACTCTGATGATATTTGAGTGTCAAGTGAGATATTCATCTCATTAAACTAAAAGCACCCAAAGTTCTGTAATTAACGACATATGGATAGTCTAGATGAATGTTGTAATTCCTATGGTTATAATCTGGATACCCGAGTTAGAGATATTGTAATATTTCTCATATTTATTTATAGAAAATTAGATTTCATTATAACATATGAAAGCTTCTCTCACTCTAGTAACCATAATATTAACTGTAAGTATCAAATAATCTTAACCAAAGAATTTAGTTGAACTTCAAAACTTCAACAGCATTTGAAATGTATTTTTTCAGAAGTTTTTTGAGTTTTTCCTATAAATGTTGATATTGATTTTAATCCTGTGAAAAATAAATTCAGAACGGTACCAGAGAAAACACCTAGGATGGAGGATTAATTGATTTTTCGGAACTACGGAGTTTTTTCAACTACAGATCAAACATATTATACGCTATCAGTTAATAAATCATCAAAAGATAAATTTCAGTAACCTTCTCAGACTCTACACATCTGTCATGGAAAGCATCGAGATGAAATGAACAATTAATCGTTTGATTATAGACAAGAAAATAATTATATTCAATTAGAATATATTGCATAAATTTATTGGTAAATGGGAAAAATAATAATAATAATAACAGCAACGCAAAAAGTTCGGAACAAAAAAATATGACTAGGAGAAAACAAAACATTTATAAATAGAATTTATAATTTTGTTTTTAATATTCATTTTTTTTGGACATTATAGTTCATTTTTCGTTTAATTATTTTATCGAATACATAAGCAATTATTAAGGATTTTTTTGCACACTGTTTGTTAACAATATAAACAAAAATGTATAGAGAAAGCATTTGTTTTTGTATAATTTCATCTGAGAACATCGGTAATGAACGGAAATTTTCTTACATTGTTAGGTACAGTAGATGATGTATCGATTGCAGTTGCCGTTGTCGGATAATCACCAAAGACAAATCGAAAGCTAAATACATAACAAAAAAAAAACAAAGACTTCATAACTAATTTTAACAAATGTGCAATATTAAAATTTTGGACGTATTGCAAATAAAGCAGAATCAAATAAAAAAACAACATCAAAATAATAAATAAATCGTAGAAAAATAAAAAAAAACAAAAAGTGAAAAGAAAAAGCTTGAATGATCTGGTTTTTGTTTTTTATTTGGATGATGCTGATGAAAGCAGCGGAATCTTTGTTTCTGACATTTTTCGATTTATATTAAAAAGACTTCCAATAGAAATTTGTTGTGATGACGAAAGATTCGGTTCGACAGATGGTGAAGAAAATGTCGAATACGATCGACTAACAGGTACATTTGATGTTATTCGTGTCGATGGAGTTGCTAATAACTTAATTGGAGTATTTTTTTTTAATGATGATGATTGTTTAGTTGGTGGAAATAATACACGTAAGCTGAAAGCAAATAAACAAAACAACATCAACAATGCAACAAAAGCATTTCAAGCTAAGCTCAAATCATTAATAATGAAATAAGTGTTATAGATTAACTGCTAGCTTGAGGCTAATAGGCAATAGGTTGCCAAAAATAAACATGCAAATGTCCTCAATTCATGATAATGCAAAATTTTGCGCACAAGTTTCATGCAGAACGAATAGCGAAAAAACAAACAAAACAAATGAATCAGTACATTTATAAAAGCATGCCTTTGATTTACTCATGCCAAAAGCTTACCACAGTGAAGCAACTGCAAAGCAAGTGATAGTAGGAAAGAATAAACAAAACTTCACACTGAAAATAAATGGAACAAATACACAAACAGAGACGTGCTACGATAGCAATGATTAATGTATGATTATGAAACATAACACTAAACATTTAACTTACAATTGACGAATTTTTGATTCATCACGTTTATGACCATATAATTTTTCATCGGGTTCTAATGGAATTGGACCTTCAACAGCGCCATTATTATCATCATCTTCTCTATAAAAAACAAGCAACAGTAAATTTTATAAAAAGAAATGTCTGTTGATGATTTTTACTGTTCTTTGAATAATCGTAATTCTTCTTCAACTTCCATTAATTTTGTTTTTAAATCATTTCGTTCCCATAATACTTGTCGTAATTCTTCAAGTGAAAATCGTGGTTGATTAGCTTCAAGTGTTGTTAAATCATTAATGGGATTCTAACCAAAGAAAAATTTTCATCTTCTCATTTTCTGTTTTTTCCCCTCAAAACTCACTATAGGTGATGTTGGACTAGTAAGTTCATCGGCAACACGATCTTTCATATGATTTATAAAATGTTCTTTTTCTTTAAGTTGAACTTCTAAATCAAATTTCTCGACCATTAATCGTTGAGTTTGATTAGCAGAAAATGTATTCTTCTGACGCAATGTACAATTTAATTTACAAACACGTTCAAGTTGACCTTGAATCTAAAAGAAAGTTAATTGTGTTTTCAAATTTAAAACAAAGTTTATGTATGTCTTGTTTGGAGGGACTTGTGTTTTATATACTTAAACATTCATATCAATTATAAATATAAATAAAGGTATTAAACTCCTTGTCGTAATAACAAAAGCGCAGATCTCCTATTACGTCCTGCTCATTATTTCTCCAAGATAAATCTTCTCTTACAGCGAGGAATTCAATCTAAATATTTTGAGAATCGATTCAAATGAAGTTTAATTCTTTATAATTCATAAAAATTTCCTTAAGATGGAATCTAAATTTATATCTAATCCTTTACCTTTCTGAATAGTAGAGAAAAAACTAGACGCTTTCGTTCAAAGATATACTCATTTGATCAACATCTGAGCCTAGAAAAGTTTCAAACAGTTTCAATGCAATTTTAAGTAGATATTGATTAGTGCGGAAAACTCAAGTGAAACAAACATTTATTCTAATGTAAAGCTTATAGAATAATCTAAAAGTCGAATTCTATTTGTTAAATGTTACACATATTTTCATCATTTTTTTTTTAATTTGAGATAGAATCACCATCTTAAAAAACATGGGAAAATAGTATTTGATTAACATTATATTTTTTTCGAATTGATTGAAAAGTATTTACAACATGAATTTATTTTTGAATTGGAATGAATGTTTTACTTACAGCTTCTGTATCGAGTGTTTTTTGTGATAATTCTTTATCTTTAGTTTTTAACAATCGTTTTAATTTCATATTTTCATCAGTTAAATTTTTAATACATTGAAGTTCTTCACGAGTAATGCCTATTTAAAAACAAAACTAATTTTCATAAAATAATAATACGAAAACTATCATACTAATTATTTCAGTTGGACTATGCAAATTCGATTTTTCATGTAAATCATTCTTATTTTGAAGTTCATCACGTAATCGTCGATTTTCATCTTCTAATTTTGAAACAAGTCCCATTAAATTATCAGCCTAATAATACAAAAGAAAAATTAATGTGACCAAGCA